AAAAACGACATTTCCCAAAATGCCGGACGACATGGATCTGGGTTATTGTTTGTACATTTGACAACTGTATTCACCAGCGGAGTTATTTACTTTATACAAATGATGAATGTTCGTAACTGTCAATATCTCGAAGGATAAACCATTTGAAATGCATTGTTTTAATATGAATAACATTATATACACTCACTGTATTAACTATATATAAAGGGCACGGTTTAGAAAGCGATAACAGGAAATACTTTATAACTGACTGAATATGATAAACGATTTAAAAAGCCTAGATCAATCTGAAAACAAACACGATGAATATCCATTCAGAGAGAAGAGACAGACCGTCATTGTGTAACACAGTAAATGTTACAATATCCCGTTTAACAATCTCCTGCTGTAACTTAACCACTCATCTCTATTGTGAAATACTTTAACCACAACAACACAACGGAAACCAAGAGTCAGAACAATGCAATAATGAGCAATAATAATGTAATTCCCAAAAGGTCTTACCGTGTGTAAAACGGAGTTCACTAGTAGTCTCACTGCCGCCAAATATTTTACTTTCAGTTTCAGTAACAGGAAGTTCAGACCAGCGAAAGGGGCTGGAAGTGTCATTCTCCTGAAATCACGCATATATAGATCCGAATACATAAATACACACAATACTGTTTACATTTCTCCTCAGAAGTGTAGAGTTCTTACCTCAGCTATCAAATATAACACGAGGCATTTTATTTGGCTCATTTCCAGTAGCGTAATGTATTGAAGTACACAGTGCTTGAATTGGAATGAAAAAGGTGCCAGTACTCTAAAATCAGCAACTTTTTCAAGTCTTCTCAGCTGCTTTGCAATATACTTCACATTGTTAGAAAAGGCTCCAGAAGGCCTTGGGGACATCAGTATCAGGGGCTGGAGCTGGACAGGCTCTTTCATCAGCACTTCTCCTTCCCTTTGCCAGCCAGGACCTCACATACTGTTCCGGATTGAACTGTCCTAGTGATGGTCCATTACATTTAATGAAAACCAGGCTGGACAGTCGGCTGACAGAGAGAGCATTCCTTTTTGCAGTAAGGATATCGTTCATGCAGCTGAATGCCCGCTCACACTCACTAGTGGAGACAGCGATGGTTCGGACTGCTTTCAGTAGAGGCTCCATGGCAGCAGGTGTACGGGATGCCCTGGTTTCCTTGTATTCGCGAAAGCCCTGAACAGTCTCTCTTCTGTCCACTTTCAGCACTTCGCACAAACGTAGCACCTCTACCCCCATACTGTATGTCTAACTCCTCTTCAGGCCAACTTCCAGGATGGATAACTTTCATGTCCTGGATTAGCTGATTGTCCCGGGCCTCCCGGCCATGTAATGGGATTTCTCTTGTGCTGACATGAGAGGAGGTTGTGGAAGTCATTCTGTGTCTCAGATTCTCTACCATACTGCGGAAAAACTGACCTGCATGAATCTGTACAAGCCTGCCATTCTCACGCAGGGCAACACCCTTGAAGGACTTCTCAGCTAGAGCTGTATGAACTGTAGTCATGTGTGGGCCAGGCATGGTGACCATGGATTCAAAAACTCGTATTTCTCGAGTTAAGAGCCTATCTGCTGTAGGCAGTGTCATCTCTCTTTTTTGGAGTTGCCGAGAGAGGTCGCTGAGCTCTGTGAGCGCATCGTACATCAGTCCCAGATTGCTGACAAACGTTGCAGATGTGAGCACATCATCCAGGCCCTTGTACTTTGCTCTGTCTCTGGAATCCCTGCTCGTGTCGTTTGCAGCATTTGTGAAGTGATCATGAAGCACTCGGTAGTTTTCCCAGACTGCTCTGATGCTCCTTTCACTTGAAGCCACCCAGCGGATGGACAAAACACGCCCTATCACCAGGAGACGCTGTCCGACTGCTTGCGCACACTGCGCTAACTGCCTCTGATTTTTGGGGGAGGCATGGAACAAGGAATAGAGTTTGTCAAAAAAGATCTGGAAATGATTGAGCCCTGAGACCTCCTTGACCACATCCCCAACTGCCAGCTCTAGACGATGATTGGAGCAGTGCCACACAAACAGGCTTGGGAATTTACTACACAACTGGGTAGCAACGCCTGTTCTCTTCCCTAGCATGACTGAAGCCCCATCACATGCAAAAGAAACGAAACACTGACCTAAAAAGTCCTCGTTAAAATCTCTTCCAAGACACTCCATTAACGCCTTTGTGATATCATCAGCCGTTGTTCCATCCAACTCGATCAGCTCCCAAAAAAACGTTTCGGGCTCAGCATCAGCTACTGCTGAGCGTAGACACACAACAAGCACCGTTTTACCACTAATAGTGGTAGATTAATCGACCAAAACACAGAGTTTTCTTTGGTTTTCTGTAATGTCTTTTGCCATTTTTTTCTTCAGCTCATGAGCTATGTGGTCGATGATTTCGCCACAGGTTTTATTGGAGTGCAAAACCCTGCCCACGTTCAGCCCATTCAGTTTCTGTACATTCAAATCAATTGGCATGTCTGTGAATGGCCGGCTATGTTTGCCAATTTTATATGCCGTTCGAAAAACTCTGATAGTGGTGTCTAATTCAGATTTATGCATAGACTGCACTTGATGTTGAATAGTTTCACGTGAAGCAGCTGTAAGGATGTCAGCAGCTTTTACATGGGCTTGTGATTCTTTATGTTCTTTGATTTTTTTTCTCAGGCTAGCTTGTTGTTTGCCCTTGTCAACACCGAAATGAGACACTGCACACTCACCCCATTCAGTTGACAGTTTCAGTCCTTGTCCAGTGTGTATTCCCAAAGATTTGACATCTCTGCATATCCGACATCCTAGCTTCTTATCTTTAAGAAGGAGCCATGCATTGGTCTTGCAAAAATATTGCACCTGGTCCGTTGTCCAGCAGTCAGGTGCATCGCTTTGCCCGGTGTTGGTGGTGGCAGTTGCGCCAGCAGCAGCTAACGTTAGAGGCTCTGGAGGAGGCGGCGGAGCTAGTGCTAATGCTAATGCACTAGAACTTGGAGCAGGAGGATCAACCAAAGAAAGCTCCCCATCAGACACAATTTCCAACACAGGCACAGCATTCTCTGTATTTGAAGTTTCTTCCGGCGACAACCGCTGTCTTTTTGCACTTTTATTAATCCACGCTAACATTTTAGAAATGCTAATTTGTGACGTGACTTGCTTTCCTTCTCTCGGGGGCGTGCCTGCTCTGTTCTATCACTCTACATAGCCACCCACTGGGTGGGAGTTGCACTGCATAAACACAACACACGTGCATCTAGGTATGTAAATTGTAAAGCATTAAAACATGGTTTTACTAACAGTTTTCAGTATGTTGTTACTTCGGCATTATTATTATTATTATTTTGAAACGTGTATTACTATTAAATCACGGTCAAATAGGTTAATTTTGACATAGTCGTTTCCACCACAGTATTTACATGGAGAAGATAAGCCCCGCCCCCTCTCCAGCACGTTCTGTTTGAATGACAGGAGTAAACAGCTGACAGCCGCTGTGAAACTCCAGCGGTTAGAGCGATGAGAATGTCCGTTCGGCACCTCATGACGCATCTACTGAGTACCGGGCGGCTGTATATATATATATGGTTATGGATGTATAATAAGAACGGCGGGAGAGTGTTGAGTACTGGCACGGTGCATGAGTACCGGAGTACCGCCAGCATGCCGGTACTGAGCAAGAAGTGCCGGTACTCCATGGGTCAGAACCAGAAGTGCCGGTACTGCGTACCGGTGAGTACCGGCCCAATTCCAGCACTGGAAGTACATTTACTCAAGTACAGTAGGCTACTTAACTGCGATTTTGGGGTAGGCCTACTTAACCATTTATTGCTACTTGTATACTTTTACTCCACTAAATGTATGCAGCCAATATAGCCAACTCCTCTACATTTAACAAATTTATGTATTTACATATTCACATTATAAGTTAATACAACATATTAATATATAATATATAAAAACTTTGATATGAAGTTAAGATATCCAGCAGCAGTAGACCTATATCAAGTAAATAAATTAGCTCCACTGTTTACAGCTGTGATGAACACATTAATGGGTGAATTATTATAATCCACTGATTTAATAAATAAGATTCTAAAATGGGACAATAAGTACTCAGATTATTGTGCGTAATTCAAAAAAGGGCACACCATCGATTTTTGTTACTATAAACAATATTCCTGGAATATCTACTTTTGTGACAGTTTTAAGGGATATTAAAATGTGTGTGGTTCAATATAATTAACATATTTTAGACATGTTTTTATGTTAGCTTTATGTTAGACAATTTAATTGTTTTGTACATTTAAAAAAAGTACATTCTACGGCAGGTGCTCAAGCCCCCTTTGATGTCTATCTGTTCACCTGCCTCCTTTCAGTATATTATGATGCCATTACGCAATAAGTTACTTGTAACAAAGTATTTATAATGTAGTATTTCTACTTTTACTTAAGTGAGAAATCTGAGATGTTGTTCCACCTCTGCTCCTTTCACTTTAAAAGTCAAAGAACATACACATTGTAATACCTGAAAAGACAACATTAGAGCAGTATTTAGATTTAAGGATGAATAAATATAGAAAATAAATAGTCTTATATCTCGTAATCTTACAAATGTTTTCCCTTGAACTAAATTTATGAACTATGACATGGATACGCATGCAAGAAATAAGGAGTGTTCTCTTCCAGATCGATGCTTGTCGTGAACATTTCACAACATGAGACATTTGCCAAACTTGGAGACGGACCTTATCCCACTAACCAAAATATAATTTCCCTAAATATTCCAAGATAAAAAAACATCCTGTTCAAAGAACCTCTTGTCGTGTATAATTGATAAACCTTTTAATTACTGCTAATTTGATTACAAACAAACAATACATGGAAATACATAATAATGCAGAAAGACATAAAAATGCACTCACTTAAGATTGGATGTAGAAAGAAATGTTTTATTGTTTCATTATAACTACAGTCAATGGTTTCTTTAAAAACAAGAGAATATTATAAGACAAGTTTGGCATTAATGCAAAAAGTGTCTGCATGGCTAACAACTAGAAAACAAAGAAATCAAACATTTTCTTACAAAGAATCTCAACTTGAGGTCCACTTACTAGCTTTAAATATAGCTTTCGACCTCGTCTCACTGTTATCCTCGGATTCAGTTATATAAACTAAGTACAGAAGTTCATTCTGACTATTGTTTTCAAGGATGCACTCTTAAAATAAGTTTGAAGATTGGCTAAACTGGTCCTTTAATAGAGATGGTAGGCAAATGATCAGTAATACAAAAAATACTATACACTTTTACAAACAATATAAAATGTTCTTTACATCAAGGGATAAAACAATTATTTTGCAGTTCTGAGAGCTCGATGCACTAAAGCTAAAGAAAACATACTAACGCAGAACCGTTGCCATAGCAATATACAACCCTGTGTTGCTCAATGACAATACATTATATTTAAATTCCTTGAATTGATGACAACGCAGACTGTTTCCAGGAGACAGTAAAAAGTGACTAACATGGGATATACCACATACCATGGATTGTGACTCAAGTTATTAAAGTTGCCAATTGGTCATTTTGATCATGCCTTAAAAAGCAAGTTGAGTGCGTTCGAGGCGAGGCTTGTTTGGCGGTACCTTAAATCAAATAGTGTTATGTCATGATTAAAATGATATCAAGGGAACCGGGATTTGGGAATTGTTTCTGTACCACTTTACTGACAGTATTACTGCCGACATCGCTCAATCATCATTTATATATCATGGTCAATATGATATCTCTCTTAATTTAATAAAAAACAACAATGGATGACAAATAAATTACTTTATCAGTTAATGAGAACAGTATCTTTCAGTATTTACAGACTGCCCTATCGTAAAAGTGGTAATAGTTGACTGTTAGTAATGTGGTTCTAATTGTATACAACATAACTGTGTCACTATTTGCTGCTGACATTACGGCTAGAATTACCCATAATAATCACATTACTGGTAACGCCAACAATACCGTCAACATTCATGGCAACATTATCAGTGATTATCTATTACTGCCATTAATGGCACCAACCTTTTTTCTGACACTACTGCCAATATTCGGGGCCAACATTTCTGCCCACATTACTCCCTAACAGTTACTGTCAATATTACTGCCGATAGTACTGCCAGAATTTCCAAAGATAATCATATTACTATTACCACCAACAATACAGCCAACATTGCTGCCAACATTGCCATTACCAACAGAAGTACCTCCGGTATTACCGCCTGTACCATTGTTGATAATACCGCAAAAATGACCGCTAGAATTTGGGGCAATTGGGGGCTTGGGAGCAGAGGCACCAACTGCACCATCAGCACAGATGTTCTGTCCAGTAGAAGCAGGTGAAGAGACTGGTGTTCGAGGGACTTTTCCTTTAGCTGTTGTTTCCTCGAGGAAATAAAACCAAAGACATAGAGTCAGTAAGAGACACACTTAGCAAAGGTTAAAAAAAAATTGTGTACAGTAGCTTGAAGTTAAAAGTAATATATATCCTGTGAGGTATAGTGTAAGTAGGCTACAATATATAGTACAATATGTATCAACTGCATACCTGTGTGTGATTTCAGAAAGTCCTCTGCAGCGTTGTTCAGTTTCATTTGCTTCAGGATCGCAACTGTCATGTTGACAGAACGTCCAAGAGCAGTATTGGCACCGACATCTTGGACGGGAAAGAGGATACATTAGTTAGCATTTTATGGGAGATGAATAAGGTTATGTTAGCTATAGAGCTTCTTCAAGATAGCAGCACAAATCCAGTGTGTTTTTAATTGCATATTTAACATTGGGAAGAATACTCAAAACCTTTAGTATGGATGACTTAAGTATCATGTTAATTATTTAAATAATTGTATGAAATGATATAAAATGTGACAGTAAAATAGAATTAATACACAATTTAAAAAGAAGTAAAAAATACATAGAGTACAATGAACATTTATTTTTCCATTTGCTTTCCCATTTTTGTGTTGCTTTTAAAAAAATTGACTTATTTAAATATATATATATATATATATATATATATACACTGAACAAAAATATAAACGCAACACTTTTGTTTTTGCTCCCATTTTTCATGAAATGAACTCAAAGATCTAAAACATTTTCTATATACACAAAATAACCATTTCTCTCAAATATTGTTCACAAATCTGAAAAAATCTTTGATAGTGCGCACTATCGAGATAATCCATCCCACCTCACAGGTGTTCCTGGCAGGTAGCGTGGGGTTGGGGTTTACAGTAACTGGGTTTATGATCTGAAAGTTTAAGCAATTCCTGAAAAGTTAAAAAATACTGCACTTAAGTCAAATTTGTTTAATACTTGTACTTTACTTTGGTATTTCACTTTACGTAAAGTCAGTAACTGGCTGTAAAATAAGGACTACATTTTTTTTTTTTTAAATACCAGGACATGGAGATCAAAATGTCCCTTTAATAAATAAAGGAAATATTTTTTCTTTTTTTTTTGTTGCTGATTTTAAGGTTTATTTTTTAGAAAGATTCCACGTTTGAATCAAGGAAAAAAAATTGTTATGTGAAAATGGCATTGTTAGCTACAGACACCAGGGTGTAAATAGCATTGTTAGCTACAGACACCCGGGTGTAAATAGCATTGTTAGCTACAGACACCAGGGTGTAAATAGCATTGTTAGCTACAGACACCAGGGTGTAAATAGCATTGTTAGCTACAAACACCAGGACGTAAATAGCATTGTTAGCTACAAACACCAGGATGTAAATAGCATTGTTAGCTACAAACACCAGGATGTAAATAACATTGTTCGCTACAAACACCAGGATGTTAATAGCATTGTTAGCTACAAACACCAGGATGTAAATAGCATTGTTAGCTACAAACACCAGGATGTAAATAGCATTGTTAGCTACAAACACCAGGATGTAAATAGCATTGTTCGCTACAAACACCAGGATGTAAATAGCATTGTTAGCTACAAACACCAGGATGTAAATAGCATTGTTAGCTACGGACACCCGATGTAAATAGCATCTGCCTTAAAAGAAAAATTAAGATATTGTATACATTTTTCAATTTAGCCATTCTGCATGAAAAGTACTTTTACTTTAATACTTCAAGTACATTTAGCTGTCAAGTCTTCTGTACTTTTACGTCGTTTTTTAACTTCTTGCAAGGCAGTCATCACTGTCTGCAGAGTGAAAGACGAAGGGTAGAGATTGCGTTGCATATTTAAACAAAGAGAGAAGAAAAGGGGGGGCTCAGCTTGTCAATAATAAAAGGAGCATTCTGGAAGTTAGGGAGGCAGTATCAGCAGGGGCGGATCTACCGGGGTGGCATGGGGTGGCAACTGCCACCCTAAACAATAGCCTTGCCACCCCAGCTGCCACCCCAGTTGGCATCTTTGTTTTGAAAGAAAAGTTGTGGCTCATCGGACATTTATGAGAGAAAATCTCTAATGTCCGAGTGCAAGTGAATGCAGCACAAGACGCGAGTCTTGTAACCCCTCCCCTGGCGCGAGAGTGGAAATATGATTGGTGGCGAATTCACTTGAACGGGGGACGGCGCAAAACGAGAAGCCTTTCGGACTCAAGTAGACGGAAGGAATGAGGTGTTTGCGTTCTACAATGACAGAGAAGAGAATGTCAAGTTTGGCTGTACTCAGCAATGAATCAAAACGCACTACAGCTGTTGATCTTAATAAGTTTGTGAGGCGTTTTGCTGAACAAGATGGTAATCGCCGCATTCAGCTGTAATAGACATGCCAACTTGTTGCTCTGCTCACGGATGACTCGATGAGCATACAAAACTGTTAAGATGATGACCTTGTATGCGTGTATATATTTTTTTTCTTTGTAGGGTTCTGCCCCCAAAAAACTGTTTTAAGTCCTGAGAAAGTAAAATAAGACGGTGTGTAAAACTACACTGCCCAGCCAAAAAAAAGTAACCACTTTGATTTAACTAGGCCAGTAGGTAAGGACTTTCCACTGGATAATAACTGCAGCGATGTTTATGTTTTAGCTGAATACACGTTTTTTAAGCCTAACTGATGCAGTTAGTCACTTCTTTAATATTTGTTCTTTCTGATGTAAAGTCAAGGTTGTAACTGTATATCAATAATGATATAATTACTTGTTTTTCAAATTTGAAGGAGGGTGAGCAAGCATCTTGATGAACATTCATCATTAACTCCTCCAAAAAATATAGTTTATTCAATACTAAATGAATATGTGAATCATACCAGTTCTTCACTATATCTGTAAAGCGTCTTTGAGCACCTGTAAAAGCGCTAACAAATTAAATCTATTATTATTATTATTATTATTATTTATTAACAGTGATTGACAGCTGATAGGAATAATATGATTGTTAATATTATCATATTCATACAGACAAACATCGATGAGACAGTTAATTAATGTACTTATTGCAGCAGTCTTCATAGATTTGGTACCCCTGCTGGTCTAAGAGTGAAACAAACTCATTCAGTTATTGTTCAGTTAAAATTCATTAAATTACGTCTGCCACCTTATATATGTATATGTAAGGCTTTACTGATGTGCCACAATAATATCACCTATGTCATTGAGTTAAAATATTAATATTGTGGCTTTCCAAGTTAACATTGATAGGGGTGTAACGGTTCACAAACATTTAGGTTCGGTACGTACCTCGGTTTTTAGGTCACGGTTCGGTTCGGTACGTTTTCGGTACAGCAGAAAAAATTATCACAAAACACTAAATATATATATATATTTTTTAAATTATTATTAAACTGAATAATGTATTCAAATAAATACAAAATATAATAAAATAAACATTAAGGTGCAGCATTTCGATGAACTGAAATAATCTGTATTTGAACTTTACTGTACTAGTACTCACAAAACATAAACTATTAGTTTTGGGTTTTTAATTATTATTAAACTGAATATTCACTCAAATAAATACAAAATATAATAAAATAAACATTAAGGTGCAGCATTTCGATGAACTGAAATAATCTGTATTTGTACTAATACCTAAGCAGCCAGTTTGACATTATGACTTGCTTGTCATTGTATTTTCATGTTTTTTTAAAGAAAAATTAACTTGTCCACATTGCTTGCTGAAAGGGCAGATCTGCTGGCACTAACAATGTCTCCTGCTGTGGAGAACACCCTCTCGCTAGGGACAGAGGTAGCAGATACAGCCAGATAGCGCTTTGCTAACACGGCAACATAAGGATATTTGGCGTTTGTAATAGCTTTGGCTCGGTCTGAACTTTTTGCGAGTGGTGGAGGCTTAAATGCTAGCGGGAGTTAGGTTTGCACAGTCTTTTTTCTTTTGGTACCGGTGATATTCACGTTCGGGTGATGCCTTTTCAAATTAGTGTGCAAGTTTGATGTATTGCCAGCCGCGTAACCAATTTTAGTTGAACAATGCCGACAAACAGCTTTGGTTCGGTCCACCTGTCTTTGCCCGTCATCCTTGTACGTAACTGCGAAACCAAAATGTTCCCAAACCGGAGACTTCAATGATGCTGGAGGATTTTCGAGCTCAACTTTATCTGCGTTCGCCATTTCGACAGTTCCTCAAATGACTGACTAAATTTGAACGCATCCCTCTGACCAGCTCTCATAGTATGCCTCTCGTCCAATGAAATGACTTGCTCGCTCTATGATATATACCTGAGATTACTTCCAGAAAGTTGTTCATGTTCTCAATTTTTTACGTTTAACGCTATATTCGTTCGGTACACACGTGTACCGAACCAAAGGGCCCATACCGAATAATTTCAGTATGGGTACGTGTACCGTTACACCCCTAATTGATTGATATGATTGCGATTTAAATCAGCATATACTTCTGCCAGGGGATGCCACCCCACAAAATCTCCTGCCACCCTCTTGCCACCCCATGAATATTTGTCTAGATCCGCCCCTGAGTATCAGCATGTCCTCAGTTCAACAGAAAGACAACATACTTTTGGTGCAAATAGAGATAATAAAAATTAGTAAGAATAACACACTGATATTATTAAAGTAAACAAAATAATTTTCCGATTAAACACACACACTCACACACACTCACACACACACACGGTAAGGTTGAGTGGGCAGTATGGCGGGTCTGTAGCTGTGATGTATAATTGATGAGGGAAGGCAGCAGGTGATAATAGAAAAGTATCTCCATGAAACTAAAGAAGATGAACTCTGTGAGGATGCAGCTCATCACTACATTCAGCTCAATCACAAACAGCTGAGACACTATATATCACAGAATACTATGTTGTTAAGACCCACAGGATGTAACATACACATACAGCTCAGAGTGATGCTTTCAGTCAAAGAGAGTGTGTTGACATGTAGAGGATCATACTTTGACAGGAGCAGTCTTTTAACCAATGTGATGGGTTACATCCTATTGGACACATATTGATCATTGACACTTCAAAAGACCCTTGCAGGGTTTTACCATCATTTAGCATCACAAATGTTTCCCCAGGCACCAGTTACCTTGTTTCTGATGCCAGCTCTGGAGCTTTCCCCGTCCCTCCCTCATTCCCTGACCCTTTAAGACGACAATAGGGTGGCCCATGTGAGTCGAGTGTGGCTTCCTGTGGCCATCTTGTCTGTGTGAGTCCAGAGGACGTCTGCAGTGAGAGATTCAGGGGTTCACCTCTGCCACAGCAATGATTCTGAT